TAAATATACCAGTTGGGATAATAAAAAAACAACCCACTTCATATGCACTATCATTATTTGATAAGATATTAGATTTGTACATTTTATTTTATATGGAAATACCAACACAAGTAATTATTTACAAATTTGTTTTCATAACTCCAATATGTAAAAGTTGGATTTTTAAAAAAGTAAAACAATGACATTCCACCAGATGTCACTGTTTGCATGTAGCAATGAAGTCACAATGATTTTAAAAATAAGATTTTCCCCTTCCTAATCATATTTTGTAAAAAAAATTCTACATGGTTAACATGTATTTTTCTATAGACTCACAATTCAAACAGTATTCACTGATTTTTTAAAAAGTTTAAAAAATATTCACATACCTCTTAGGATTTTACAGAAAAAATTTGCAATACTAAAGAAAATTATTTATACACCTAGGAACAAACTGCTTTTTAGACAACATTTCTCTGTAAGTCACTGTTTTTCAAATTGTGGGTTCTGAACCCATAAACGGCTCATGACGTCGGTTTTAGTGGTTTCCTATGAGTATTTTTAAAAAATGGAGTCTGCAACAGTCAATTGCATGCATTACTTGAAACTTTTGTATATAAGTATTCTTAGAATTTCTCTCTACACATTTTCTGTGAGTTACCTAAAAGTGTCTGTCTGTTGCATTCTGTGAATTCCTCGGGTTTTATTCCCCCAGGAGCAAGGTATGTTTTTTAAGGAAGAGAATGAAGTGATGACGCAGGGCCACACCGTTAGAGTCACACCAAGGTTCTCGTTTCACCGGATTTACCTCACAGTCACCTTTGGGCAACTCACAGATGTGAGTAGAGATATTTTAGGAGAGTTCACAGCTTAGAACAGCGTGTTCCAAACTTCTTTGACAGCATCTCACGATAGGAAATGCATTTTATATCTGGCCTCCTGGAAGACCTGTGTTCCTGGAAGGGGTTTAGTTTAGACTTCCCTCTCAGAGAGGTGGGCTTGTTTCCTCCAGTGCACCCTCTCCCTGATGATGACAACGATGGTTATAACATCATGTACTTACCGAGATGTTCTCTGTGTCAAGCTCTTCATGTATTATTTTTAAGAATTAGTTTCTGGAAGACTCAATCGGTGTCACTGCTCATAGGTGAGGAAGCTATGGTTTAACAGGGAAAGTGTCCCACCTTACTGTCTAAGTCTGTTTCCTGTTGTAACAGAATACCTGAGTCTGGTTAATTCACACAGAGAGGAGATTTATTTTGACTTGTGATTCTAGAGGCAGAGAAGTCCAAGATTGCGTACCTGCCTTTAGTGAGAGTCCCATACCACTTCAGCTCCCGGAAGAAAGAGGAAGGACAAGAGGCTTGTGAGCAAGAAAAAAAAGGGGGACAAATGCTCGTAATAGTTGATCCAGAAAGGGCGTGATCTATTCACGAGCACTTTACCCTTATGATACCAACCGCCCAGGAGGCCCACCTCCCAGCTCTGCTGTTTTGGGGTCCAATTCTAAATATGGGTTTGGTGGGTACAAGTAATATCCGAAACAGCTCCAACAGGGCATAGCAGGTGGCTGGAAGGGGACTGAAACCTAGCTGTTCATCTCATTCCCCTCCCCAAACCTTGTCTTTTCTCTTATAATTCTTCCTTGAGTTTCCAGAAGATAAAAATCATCTCAGGTGTCAGGCAAGAATATAAATTTTTAGTTCCTATATCCTAAATCTACTGAATTCAAAATCTCTAAATAAAGGATCTGGAAAGCCGTAGGTGTAGACAGGTGTTGAGGAGATTCTTACACACAAGCCGTTTTAGGAAAGACTGTAGAACATTGGTGGTTCTGGAACTGCAGAGTGCTTTGGAATCACCTGCAGACCTGCTCAGGCTCCCCCCTGAGCTTCTAATTCATTTTGTCTGTGATGGCCCAGTAGTCTGTACTGTGAACCAGTTCCTATGTGAAGCTTCTGTTACTAGTTCGGGAATGCACATTGAGAGCCACTGCCGTGCGTTGTGTTGTCCTATGATTCTTGATTCCCCAGGGCAGAACCGGGGGCTGGCTTTAGCTAAGACTTTTTGTCCAGCCCAGATTTAGGACCTACAATATTTATTCAGTGTCTACTGTATTCATATCCTTTAGAGGCAGAAACTTTTTACCCACTTTTTACCCACTTTTTACAATAACTTAAAGAAGTTATACAGAATAAAGGGAAATATGCGCTATAGTGAAAGAACGATCAAGCACAGCAGGAAAACAAAGAAGAAAGAGATGAATTTTGACCTGGAAGAGGAAGGTTTGAAAGAGTTGAGATCTGAAAGATTGCTCTTCTCATTTTCAGATAATAGGTACTAAGTCTGTTTTTTCCTATCGCTACTGTAGTAATTGCAGCACTTGGAGCACTTTTTAGATAGAAAATAAAGGTTTGGTAAGGATTTGGGTGAAGTAGGGTTTTTGATACCTGTAGTGCCTGGTCTGTGGTAGAGCACCCTGGTGGGCTCAGGAGCTTGGGTAGTAATGTGTGTGTAGTCATTAAAGTGTTTGAAGAGGGGTTAATTTTCATAACTCTAGCAGGAGTATGTGGAGTGAATTGGTAGAAAGAAAGTCTGGAGGTAAGGAAGCAGCAAAGATCATTTCATAGGAATCTAAAGAGAGAAGATGCAGTGGAGAGAAGAGACACTGGAGGGAGAGTGAACAGAATGCGGGATTATGGCCAGAGGTGGAGGTGAGGTTGGGCATGGAGAGATTTTTCAGTTTGAATCACTCAGGGGCTGTTACTCCATTTCTTTAGAAAGAAAGAATGAAGCAGGGAAAATACAAGGAGAAGTTTCCAGGTAAGTGATTCAGCTTTGTCATACAGAAAGAGTTGCAAACCTCAGGTGGTCTTTCCTCTGTGTTCCCCCATTGGTGTCTGCCAGAGCTATGCACTCCGGAATGTCTGGTGAACTCTTCCACTTTCTTTCTTTTTTTTTTTATCGGTACCGGGGATCGAACTCATGACCGTCTGCTTGCAAGGCAGGTGCTTATGTCGCTGAGCTAAATCCCCAGCCCTCTTCCACTTTCTTTATGACCAGTCAAAATTTCTGTTTATGCTTTTGAATGTGACAGACAGTGAAAAAAACGTAAATGATTTTAGGTACTCTGTCTTTGGCTTTTAGCTAAAGAATAGCGCACCAGTCCTTCAAGGTAGCTTCTTAGGTCAGTCTGCTCCTCACCACTGCCATCCTGTCCCTACAACCCAGTCTAAGAGCTACTTTATTAATCCTGATGTCTCCACACTCTGGAACTTTTGTCTTAGTTCCTAGTCCTGACCCTGTTGTGTTTTCTTGGATATATCTGTCAAGATTCAGTTGCAGAAAACAGAAACATCCTTAGCTGTTTGAAGCTAAAAGAGATTGAGTAATGGCAGTGCAGTGTGTACAAAATCAATGGAAAAGTGACTGTGAGTCAAAGAGGGCTCCTGGAAACACTGCATCAGCAGAAGGTTTGTTTGCCAAGGAAACTTCTCCTTGTGGCAGTCAGGAAGGCAGGGAGTTGAAAGCCCATACTGACAGCATAGCAATTTTACTGACATTGAGTGGCTTCTGCTGTCACAGCTTTTGACTTGGGAGCCACACTACGTCTGTCTAGTATGCTCACTGGTAAAATAAAAAAGGCAACCCATGAAGAAAGCAGCTGGAACACTGCTACGGAAGAGTTCTGACTGTGTCTGCCAACAGAAACATCAGAACCTTCTGCCTTCTAAATTTCACGTGTGCATCTGGGCAATGGATCCCAAGTCACGTCTAGAAATGCAAGACAGTTTTTAACCTCTTATGTTGGCAGTTCAGGAAAGCATGTTAGGAGGAACAGAGTGGGTGTTCAGTGGCAGTGTATTTAACTTCTCTTTGAGTTCACAAGTTTGATTAGGTGAGTGAGATAAGATGCTTATTTTCATAAGTGAATTTCAGCAAAGTACTATCTTTACCAGCTTGACTCTGCGTGGGTCTGTTTCCTAAGATTTGGTAAGATGAGCTTTAGGAGTTTCTGAATTTTGTAAAAAACAAATCAATAATGTCTGGGTACTCTTTGTTTTCAGAGTCAGTGGCTCATAAAGTTATTGTCTGTTCATATATATGAAAACGTTAGCGGACCAATAGGTCTAAATGCTTCCATGTGAAATTGACAGAACTGTAGGTCTACTGTACATTTATTTTGTTTTCATTTTACAATAGGTTTTGCAATACAACAATTGATATGTTTTTCAAGCAGTCTATAGGCCAAACATTAATAATACTTTCAGTCTTTAAATTTTGATTTATGTCTTCTCTTTAAAATTAAGACATTTTGTGATTTTTTTGTGTATGTGTCTCCTAATACGTTCTTAGGTATTTGCAGCTTGTATCTAACAAGGAAAGAGCTTATGTCAATATAGTTTTTTTCTTGTCCCATGCAAGATATGAATCGACAAAGGAAACTATAATGTGAGGAGGGCATTTTATTTAGGGTGAGTCTCTGCTCCAGTCTAAGAAATGAAACTTTTGAGCAGATATGATGGTGCAGACTAAGGCAGAAGGATTACACATTTGAGGCCAGCTTGGGCAATTTAGGGAGACCTTAAAATGAAACAAAAAGAACTGGGGGTGTGGCTCAGTGGTAGAGCACTCCTGGGTTTATTCCACGGAAACCCCCACCTTCACATACCACAAAAGAAATGAAACTTGCTGTGTGCTTGGACCAGGGAGTGGATTAGAAATCAGATGACAGAGAAATTTTAATCACTTCTGTAATTAGACTTTCTTAAGGTAAACTTTCTGTTCCAGCATCATGAAACTATGTCATCACAGAGTTACTTCTAAAATGTCTTCAGATCCAAACATAAATTATTTTTGTATTATTTATCACTTTGGATTATTTGACTTCTTTACAACCTCTGCATAATGCAGATGTCAGAGGTCAGTGTTTGTTTCAATAGAGGTACAAAGAGAGAGCAAGTATTTTTTGCTTTATCAATGACTTTAAAAACAAGTATATTGCTATTGTCACATTGTAGACTACTGTGTGGAATTCCTGTTACGGATGAAAACCAAAAGAGTATCAGCATTCCTCCAGAACCATCAAGGCTGCCTCCTGAAACAGCGCAGAGACTTAGATGGCGTTTTCACAAACCACACCTGGAACTCTTGGGACAGGAAGTAAGAACTTTCTTTCATATTAGTGTTCTCCATCTCACAGGTTCTCAAACTTTCTGGTTTAACACTTGTAAAAATTATTGAGGACACCAGTAATTGTTTATGTGAGCTATATCTATTGACATTTGCAATGTTAGAAATTAAAACAGAACATGCTAAAGTATTTGTTAAAAATAGGAACAATAAAGTCATATATGTTATATAGGTAATGTATTTTATGAAAAATGATTGTGTTGGATTCCTCTGGTGTCATGGTGTGAAAGCATGTGTCTTTAGTGTACTGCTGAGAGCCTCCGACTTGCTAGGCCACCTTCTGTGACTTCTATTGGCCGTGTGCTTTATGCGAAGGACCCTGGGAGACGCTGAAGTCACATAATGGCCATTTTCTCTAACAAGATGCTTTACTCATAAGTCACGTTAGCATTGCATCCCAGAGGGTGGGCTGCTTGGAAGAAAGCGAGTTCATACTCTGTACTCCTCTATTACATCCCTGATGGTGGGGCCTGCTAGAAGAAAGTTCACTCTCTGGGGCTCCTCCATTGCATCCCAGAGCACGGGGCTGGCTGCAAGACAGTGAATTTGTGCTCTGGGCCTAATTCATTTCTCCCTGGACAGTGGGGCTGCCTGGAAGAGTGTAAGACCGACAGGAACCCCAAGACCCAGGACAACAGCCCAGCACACAGATGCACACACACCTTTGGAGGACATAGTAACCAGCAAGGCCAGTAATGTGGAAGCCTCTAAAGCAGTATCCAGGGGACAGCAGACAGACTCTGGAGACCTCCACTGACAAAACACCAGTCGCAGCCACCACATCCAGAGCCAGAGTTAACTCCATACCCAGCACATCTTTGGGATGGAACCTGGACTTATCACAGAACTGAGAACACCAGAAGAAGGTGGGTTCTTGGGATAGCTATAAACAACCAACTACATCTGGAGGACATGCTTGAAGAATGGACATCTTTCCTCCTCAAAAGAGGCTTTAATGCTAATGGCAGAGCTATATATCACTGGAGGTTGGTGGGCATCAACATAGAAGACAAAAAAAAAAAAAAAAGATAGAGACTGTAGAGAATGGCAAGACGCACAGGTGGAGTGTGGCCCCAGACTCCCGGCCCACCCAGTACAGGGCTGGGACTCAATGAGGTAGATGAAGTTGGAAGACAAATACTGGAACTTTCTGAAATGATAACAGAAGTGAAAAAAAACAGTGAAAAAGGCTATAGAGACAATGTTCTCTCAGGTACAGAATGACATAATGTTAAAAATCGGAGATATTAGAGAAGACACAAATAGAAGATGATCTTAGAAAAGGATGGAAATAAAAAATGCTCAATGTAAGACAGAAATTAGAATCCATGAAACAGATCCAAGCAGAAATCTAGATTTTAACCTCCATTGAAAGTATATGCAACAGACTGAATGAAGGAAAGGACAGAATTTCAGATCTTAAAGGCATAATTGCAGCTAGTGATCATGAAAAGAAAGATATCTCAAAATAGCAAGCAATCAAGAGAAGTCAATCTAACAGCTACAAGATGAAGCAAAGAAGAATAACACAACATAAATGGGGTCAATGAGAAAGCTGGAGGCAGCACAAAATACCCATAGCAGTCATAATATATGTGCATATAATACAAGAGTACCCATCTATATAAGATAGTTATTCGTAGACATGGAAAATCAAGTGAGCAATAAAACAGTTGTAATGGGAGACTTCAGTACCCCATTGTCACAGAAAGACACTCGGTGGAAAATCAGCAACGAAATATCGGAGCTGAAGCAAACCTGTGAGCAAATGGAGTAAATAGGGAGAAGCCACAAGCCAGGGTTACACACCAGCAGCCCAGAGAGACCCAGTGAGTCCAGTGTGGGCCTGGAGAAGTCACACCACTGGGGGAGCATCAGTGAACCACTGCGTGGTCCCTGTCTCCACCACTCCAGGAACCCTGGACCTGGTGCTTAGTCCAATCCACTGTCCTGAGGGATTGGCAGATAATGCAGGAAGTACCCAGGATACAGCAGTGGGCTGATTTGGAGGAACACAGGAAAATGTCAAGATGAGTAAAATACGATCTTGGATCTCCAGTCCACACAGAACAAAGTATTTCAGTAGCCATTCTTACATAATTGTAGATATTTTTTAACAATACAACAAAATAATTTTCTTTAACAATGTGCCATGATTTAATGAGTTGTATTTTCTTGAGCATTAGTTGGGAGATTTTCTGGGGGAAGCAGGAGAGTCACCTTTCCTTATTCTTACTGTGCACTGCAGCTAAAAATAGTGGATATTATAAATGTAAGAAGACTCTAAAGGTGAGATGAGAAGGAACATTGATTGTGAATGTTGGGACCCAAGGAATGATGTGATAGTCAATTAGTTTTTGGATTTTCTTTGTTTCTTGAGTTGAATAGGTTGATAATGTGTACCAACTGGTAAAGGCAACCATGGGATACTTAAACTTTTGTATATGATGTATTTCACTTTATTGTCTAAAGATGAATCCATTTTCTTATAAGTGACAAGTTTATCCTTATGGCAGAGTAGTACTCCATTTTGCATAAATATCACACCTTCTGTACCCATTCATCTCTTGGTGCTTCCAAGCTTTATATATAGGCTGCTTCCAAGATTTAGCTATTATGAGATATGCTGCTATAAAATATGGATACCTGTCTCTCATTGTAATATCATGTCTTTATCTCTTTTGGGAAGATACTTAGAAGAGAGAGACATGGGTCAAATGGAATTTAGTTTTTAGTGCTTAGAAGAATCTCTATACTGATTTACACAGTTGTTGTACCAGTTTAAACTCCCGTCTGTTATATAGAAGGGTTGCTGCTTCTCTGCAGCTGTATTATCATTTGTTATTTTTTGATTTCTTGATAATAGCCATTCTTTTTATAGTATGATGGCATCTCAATGTTGTTTTAATTTGCATTTCTCTAATGACTGGATGTTGAATATATTTGCATGTATTCATTGACTTTATAAATCTTCTGAGAAATGTCTATTCATCTCAGTTGCCAGTGTTTTGACTGGATTTTTGTTTTGGTGGGCCTGATTTTTAAAAATATTTTTATTTTGAAAACAGAAAAAAGGATAAAAATGATACAGAACTAAAAAAAAAGAAATAGGAAATTAACAATTAGTAATATATTGCCTATTGTTATCTTGAAAGTAGTTGTTCAGATTACAAGATTTAGGCATAAAAATGATCAAACAGTCAGACAATGAAAAGCACAAACTTTTTTTGATGAACAGAGATTAGTAGTATAGCTTTCTATTTTGTATATATTTAGGTACACACATATATATGTATACACATGTATAATTGTTTCCTTCTATCTTTTCTCCTTTTACCTATCCTGGTTGTTTTTTCCTTTTGAGCACTTTCTTTCCCTTTTGTTTTCACAATATCTATTATACATTTTGGATCTTATTTACTTTTATTTACACTAGGGAGACAATGTAATATTTATAATATTTATACATGCAAGTCTGATTAATTTTACTTATGAGTATGGTCTCAAGTTGCAACCATTTACCTATAAAAACCTCAATTTATCCTTTTTCATAGCTGAGTAATACTCCGTTGTATAAAAATACCAAATTTTTTTATCCATTCTGAGGTTGATGGTCCATTTGGGTAGTTTCTAAGATTTAGCTATTACAAATTGTGCTGCTATAAACATGGATGCACATAAACTTCTGTGGCATGATGTTTTCATTTCTTCTGGGAAAATACCCAGAAGAATAATAGCTAGATTGAATGGGACATGCAATCCTGGTTTTTAAAGGGATCTTCGTACTGATTTCTATGGTGGTTGTACCAGTCTACACCCCACCAACAGTGGACAAAGTTCCTTTTCCTCCACAGTATTTGTTATTGGTTAATTTCTTGATGACATCCATTCTTTCTAGAGTGAGATGGATTCTCAGTATTGTTTTAATTTGTATTTCTTGAACGAACAGTGATGTTCAACATTTCTTCATATATTTATTTACCATTTGTATTTCTTCCTCTGATAAATGTGAGTTCAACATCTCAAATGCCTATTTTAGGATTAGGTCTTTGAATTTGAGGGACTTGATGTTTTTCAATTCTTTGTATGTTCTGGGTATTAGTCCTTTTTCTTGGGACAGTTGGATAAAATTTTTCCCATTCTGTGGGTTTTCTTTTCATTTGTTGGTGATTTCTTTTGATGTGCAAAAACTTTTTTAAGATGAGATCCCAGTTGTTGATGCTTTGAAATACTTCTTGTGCAGTTTGGGTTTTGTTCATGAACTCTTTGCCTTTGTTGTTTGTGTTCTGAAATGCTATTGATTTTTAAGTGTTGACGTGGTATCCAACTACACTACTGAATTTGATTATTAAATCTAGAGGTCTTTTTGATATGTTTTTTGAGGTGTTCCATGTAAAGTATCATACCTTCAAATAATGATAATTTAACTTGTTCCTTTTCTCTCCTTACTCCTTTTGTTTCTCTCTCTTGTCTAATTGCTCTGAATAATTTTTCCAGAACTATATTGAATAAGAGTGGTGACAGTGAACATCCTTGTTTTGTACCTGATTTTACTACCCGATAGAACATGTTTAAATAAATGCAAAGGGATTGAAATTATCCCATGCATATTATTCAATCACAATGCAATGAGACTTGAAATTAATAATATAGAAAGTGCAAATGCTTCAAAAACATGTGGAAATTAAATAGCATCCTGTTGAGCAACCAATGGGTCACAGGAAATTAAAGAAGAAATTAAACAATGCATATAGTCAAATGAAAATATAACTTACTGGAGCCGTGGGACACAATGAAAGCAGTGAAATCTCACATCAGGAAAACAGAAGGAGCACAAATAAACAACCAAATGCCGCATCTCAAACGTCTAGAAAAAGAAGAACAAGTCAAGCCAAAAGAAGGGGAGGAAATTACACAGATCAAAGCAGAAATTAACACAGTTGAGATTAGGAAAACAATATAAAGAATTA